CACAGCGCCCCTAGAGGACAGAGTGGAACTGCCCCACAGGGTTTCCAAGGCTGTCAGTTTTCACGGAAGCAAAGCCCAAACCACACCCACTGCCGTGGAGTCGATTCTGACTCACAGCGCCCCTAGAGGACAGAGTGGAACTGCACCACAGGGTTCCTGGGCTGTCATCTTTAAGGAACCTGACTGCCTCATCTTTTTTCCCATAGAGTAGCAGGCAGGTTTTAACTACCAATCTTTTGGTTAGCACCTGTGTGCTTTAATCACTGTGCCACTGGGGTTCCTCTGACCACAGCAGTTGGATAATAACACCAGCTGATTACACTGCTACAAGTAAAGGGGGGGCCCTTGTGTGAGAAGAGAACAAAATAACATTGGCCGTGACATTTTATGAGCACGATAAACTCTGCAAATACGGACAATGTGGTATTCGACAGTACGGTAGCTCATGTGTTCCCTCTTATCAGTGTGACCTACAAACTGCCTGTAATCCTTTGTTCATACTATAAAGCTCTGGTGGCACAGTGGTTATAATACCCAGCTGCCACTTAAAAGGTCAGTGGTGCACACCCCACAGCTGCTCCGTGGGAGGAAGATGAGGCAGTCTGCTTCCATGAAGACTAGAGTCTCAGAGACCTGCGGGCAGTTCCACTCTGTCCTGGAGGGTTGCTATGAGTCAGAATTGATTTGAAGGCAATGGGTTGATTTTTTTTAATCCTATGGAAGTAGCTCTGGTGGCTCAGTGGTTAAGCATGGGGCTGCTAGACAGAAGGCTGGAGGTTCAGACCCACCAGCCGCAACACGAGAGAAAGATGTGGCTGTCCGCTCCCACAAAGAACGCAGCCTTGGAAGCCCCATAGGGCAGTTCCACTCGGCCCTACATGGGGAAACAGACTGGCCAGAAACAGATTTTTTTTCTTTTTTTAATAGAAAATGTTTCATTTTTACCATAACCTAATTGATCAGAGTGGAAACTTTTCACGGGGTGTAGTAAGGGAGGACTCACCTCGATCCGTGTTAGGAATTCCCAGATCAACAGTGGGAATGGACCTCTCCACATAGTCGCTGTAATATTCGATGCCACCGGCCTGAGCTTCCCACGTCGCCTTCACAATGGGGACTGGAAAAGTCACAGAGATGACGGTCACGCGGTGGTGCACGCGTCCGTGGGGAGAACCACCACCGCCTTCCTTGTTCTTCGGGTACCCCACAGCTCAGGGCTTGCTTCTCAAGTCTGAGCAACACCAAGGCTGGGTGCCCACCATGCCCGGTTACAATCGTCCCCCATGCCACGAGCTGGACCCTCCGAGGCGCAGCCCCTCCCGTTCCTGCCAGCAAACCTGCTGACCTCCACACGACGGCCAGCGCGTGAGTCTCATAATGTTGTCATGTGCCGTCGAGTCCAACCCGACTCATAACAACCCCTCCTTGGGTTTCTGAGGCGGTATCGCTACAGAAGTAGATTGCCCAACCTTCCTTCTGAGGAGTGGCTGGTCTCATAATACCGTTAGGTTAAATTTACCTTTAAGGAATGCTTCTCTTTTCCGAGTAGGCTGTTTCCTTTAAAATTCACAACAGTGGTTTTGTCTGTTGTCATTATTTATTGTGCTTTAGGTGCAAAGTCACAGAGCAGAATTTGTTTCACATTCGATGTTTTGCGTACATTTGCTTTCACTCCCCGGTTACCAGCCCCAGCCCCCCCCCCTTCCCAGTGACCCCCCCATCCCTGCGCCCTTCTTAGTTGCTCACTCCCATCTGTCCAGCTTCTCCTCTGCGTGAGTGCCGCCCCTCTGGTGCCCCAGGACCCACCGCTCCAAGGGGTGTATCTCCGTAGAGTAGGTGGGTGTATCGCCCTGGGGTGGGTGTTCTGTGTGTAAGTCTTTCTACTGTTGGGCTGAGAGCCAGTCCTTGGGAGTGAGTCCCATCCCAGACTGAAGTGTACCCCAAGGCCATAGTCTTGGGGGTCACACCAGACTCCATCTGACCAGTAATTCTGGTCGTTACACAAGAGAGTTTGAAAAACGCTTTTTTGGGGGCAGAGGAGCTATCATTACACCTAAGGACTGGATTTGTTTTTTTCCCCTGGAATTTCTTCTACTTCATTTTTAAAAAGTTTATGCATTTTGCTGTTGTTGTTGACAATATACACAGCAAAACACACGGCAAGCCAACAGCTCTGCGGGCTCCACTTCCTGCCGTTCTTTAAGTTCTTCGAGTTGCCCACCGTTCCCACCCATTCCTTGAGCTGTGCCTCCCCTACGGACATAAACGAACTGCCCCTAAACTACCTACCTGACCTTTGAGTGCTGTCGTCAGTGTGATCCCACAGATACAGTTCTTAAAGAGCCAAATGGTCAAGACAGGTATTTTTCACTAGTTAAGCTAAACTACCATTTTAAGACTTTGGAGAATATTTCTGGTCAAAGGTTTGAGTATCAGCTGAAAGAAATATTTTTAGGGGTTCATTCAGCCTCACTGGCTCCAGAAAATCCAGAATCCATGAGAATTTAAAATGCTGTTCTGCATTTTCCCCCTTTTGGTCAGGGCTTTCCTACAGAATCTTTGATCACAGTGCTCAGTTCCATTAGGCAGGCACCATCCAGTTCTTCTGGCCTCAAGACAAAGGAGACGGTAGTTCACGGGGGCAATTAGCCACACATTCCATAGTCTCCTCCTGTGCCTGACACCTCTTCAACCTTTTTCCCTCCAGGTGATTACATACCAGTTGTTGTGCAATGGACAACTGCTTGCAAGCTTTTAAGACCCCAGGCACTACGCAGTGAACTAAGAGAACAGAAGCACTAAATATGGTAATAGGCCAATTAACTGGGATCCCATGGAACCATGACCCTACACGTTCAAAGCAAGGAACCAAATCTGAGTTGTTCGCCTGTACGTCAGCAAGGATTGGAATCTTCTCGTGTGACGCTGGCCAAGATGCAAAATGGGCTCTGTGGCAATGGAGATGGGAGGGGACCGTTCCAACTGGACATGTCCCCAGTCTGAGATCCCAACAGGTGCACCCAACCTTGTAAAGACTACATTCTTGTCAATGAGAATCATGGCCTGTGGTGGCTGACATCATCGTGTTGGGCTTTTGGAAAATGTCGAAGAAACAAGATGGAGGAATTCTGCAAAATGTAACATTATACTCCAATTATCCTCAGCAGATAGAGTTTTAAAACAAATAAACACACACAGAGACACACGTAATGCCCCGAAATCTTTCCTAGTTTCGCACAATTCAGTTTAGATGCTCAAAGAGAGATGTTTCTACAACTGACTGATATCAGATATCACTATTTGATATTAATTTATCTGACCAACTACCCAAGCTATCATTTTAGCCTACAGTAACCAAAACCAAAAACCAAACCCACCACCATCCAGTCAATTCCGATTCACGGCAACCCCCACTGGGTTTCCAAGGTTGTAACTCCTTACGGAAGCAGATTGCCTCATCTTCCTCCCACAGAGCAGAAGGTGGGTTTGAAATGCTGATCTAGTTAGCATCCAAACGCTTCACCCACTATGCCAGATCACAGGTGGAGGCCTGAAAACGCGGATAGTCCCAAGCCCTATGCAGTTTTCACGTAGTTTAACCTCTTTCTAGGAGCAGAATTGCTAGATCAAAGGGTGGTTGCATGTTCATTGTTAGAAAATGCTGCCAAACGTTTTCCCAAAGTGTTTGTACCATTTTACACTCCCACCATCTTTATCTGAGAGTTCTTGTTGTCCCATGTTCTTGCCAGAACTTGGTATTGCCAGTAGTTTCCATTTAAGCCATTCTGGTTGTGCAGAGCTATTTTATGGCTGAGAACATGGAGCCATGACTAAGACATGTTGAAGAGTTCACTGGTGGGAAACGCATATTCAGCAATCCAGAAACCTCACTCACAGTAGTGCCCCCTTACCTGCGGGGCGGCCCAGTGCAGGCAGGAAACCACGGACAGTACTGAACCCTGTATATATGATGTTGTTCCTTTACACAATATCTATGATAAAGTTTAATTTATAAATTGGGCACAGTAAGAGAAGAACAAAAATAAGTACCAATAAAATAGATCAATCCTAACGATATAGTGTAATAAAAGTCATATGACATAAAGTCAGGTGAACGTTGCAGGTCCTGTAACACAGCCTTAGGCCACTGTATTTTGGACCGTGGTTGAATGCAGGCAACAGAAAGTGACATCAGGGACAAGGGGGACTAGTCTGGGGCAGGACCAGGCCGTGCTTCATTCTGTTCTACAGAGGGTTGCTGTGGGTTGGAGCCGGCTTAACGGCACCGGTAGCACAGTGCCTAAGGCACTTGACTGCTAACCAGAAGGCTGGCAGTTCAAACCCACCAGCCACTCCTCGGAAGGAAGGTTGGGCAATCTACTTCCGTAGTGATACTGCCTTGGCAACCCAAGGAGGAGTCACTATGAGTTGGGTCCAACTCGACGGCACATAACAACAACAACAACAACATACCTAATTACTTGCTTGTGGTTTTAGTTTGAAAGTGGAAACAGAAATTGCAGTAAAGGCTAAGGGTCACTGGGAACCTGATTCGCTCCCTAGCACCTAGCACAGTGCTAGGCACGGAGCAGGCGCTCAGTCAATAGTTGAATGAGGACTGAATTCTGTAGGCGTTTCAGCAACAGGCTATGAAACTAGGCTACAGGAAAGACAGGCTTGTTACCACTCTCTGCTGTTATTGGGTGCAGTCAAGTCGATTCCGACTCATAACGCCCCACCATATGACAGAGTCCAACCGGCCTATACGGTTTCCTGTGCCGTCATTTTGTCGTACTGTGGTGGCTTGTATGTCACTGTGATGCTAGAAGCCATGCCACCAGTATCCCAGACACCAGGAGCAGCTCGCATGGTGGACAGGTTTCAGCGGAGCTTCCAGACTGAGAGAGAGCAGGCAAGAGAACCTGCTGAGCTACTTCTGAGAAACCTGGCCGCTGACGTTACGAGGACAGCAGGACGCCGGCTGATCTAGTGCTGAAAGACGAGCCCCTCGGCTGGGAAGGCGCTCAGACAAACTGGGGAAGAGCTGCCTCCTCAAAGGCGAGTCCAACTGAATGACGTGGATGGAGAAAGTCGAGGGTCAGCAAAAAAGAGGAAGACCCGCGACGAAATGGACTGACGCTGTGGCTGCAACAGCGGGCACAAACACACCAACCGTGAAGATGGAGCAGGGCACGTCGGCGTTTGGTTCTGTTCCACGTGGAGTCACCCAGAGTCAGAACCTCCTCAACGACACCTAACAACAGTCTTTGTGGGACCCGACTGCCAGGGCTTTTCTCCCATGGAGCCGCCGGGGGGGAATGAACCGCCTGTGATCTTTCAGTTCGCAGGCGAGCGCTGATCACCCTTCCACACACAAGCATTTAAAATAAAACTAGGCCAAGTAGTCTAACATAGTGAGACACCGAGACCACACAATACCAAGGATATCCCACAGTCTGGATCATCCCTCCTCTCTCGTCGCTGTAGCTCCTGACCGCACTGTTTCCTCACCGACTGTGAAGATTTAAGCTGAAGCTTTCATCGTGGCAGGTGAGGGCTTTGGGTTGATTCCCAATTAGTCGGACTTACACAGTGCTGACCTATTTTATGACTGCTGCTGGAGTGCTCAATTTAATCCACCCGACTATTTATATTTTTTATTAGACTGAGGCACTGTATTCCTCAAGCTATTAAACTGTGAGACAAGAGTTCAATACAGTGACAAGATGTATTACCTCATTTTCAACACATTAAGTATATTTTGAATCATGTAATAAAACCCTAGTCAACACCTCCTTCAAGAAGGTTTGCCACAAGATAACCTAACAAAATAAAAATAAAATTATTTTTATACAACAACAAAATTAAAAATTTTAATGTGAAAGACCCCAGTTGCCCAAACCAACTGCCTCCGAGTTGATTCTGACTCAAAGATTCAGTCAGAATCAACTCCAAGGCAGTGGGTATGGTTTGACCTTTGCTTCTGTAAAGATGACAACCTTGGAAACCCTGTGGGGCAGTTCCACTCTGTCCTCTAGGGGCGCTGTGGGTCAGAATCAACTCCATGGCAGTGGGTGTGGTTTGGGCTTTGCTTCTGTGAAGTTGACACCCTTGGAA